GGTTAACTCCGTGTTTAAAACTCTTCGACCTTTCTTTCTCCTTGGACATTGTTCTGACGTCATTGTCATTTGTATTTTATTTTTAGACTACTTCCAGTAGCCTTGGCTTCTTCAGAGTCAAGATTTAAGTTTTTGGTTTTGATGCAACCAATCCTCCTGATGGTCCATACCCCTTTTAGTTTTCATATACTTGTGTGTAATATTCCAAAACAAGTAAAGGAAAATACAATAAATAAACAAAATGACTAAAATATCGAACTGAATCCAATATTGGGTACAGTTGTAACCCATTAGGTTGGAGGTCAAATCACAAGATGATTACAAGTCCATAGACAAAGACATGTAAATGTGTTAGTAGTGTCTAGTGTGTGTGTGTGTGAGTGCGTGTAAGTAGTAAGCTATGTCCGAGATACCCATGAGCGATCATCAGTTGTCTCAGTGATGTCTCGAGTCTGGAGTTTGATGGATTCTCCTCTCCAGAATCCATCACAGACCGGTTTAAAACAAAACATGACCACAGACAGCTAAATGTAGCGTCGACACTGACCATGTGTGGAATTGGTGGACAAAGGAAAAATCATAATCCTCCTTGGCAGAGTGAATTTAAAAAACACTAACTGTCAAATCAACGAGATATTTTCACATTTCGCAGCTGGAATATAAGTTCTTGAAAAATAAATTGTAGTACATTTTTTCGGATTTGTTTTGTTTTTAATGTGTATGACTCATTCTCATAGGATTATTAATCATACTTTTACGCCATACTTCACTGTTTTAACGAACTTCCCACGCAAGTATTTAATCCAGAAAACAGCTGTTTGCCGCCAGCTTAATCAAATGGGGTTTCATTGCGTAATACTGTACTGTAATGAGTTTTACCGGACACCAATCAGCTGATTATACTGTATTTTGGGTGGCAATGAGTGGTTGTAAACAAAAACATAACCTCGTTTAGAGGTTATGTTATGACTACAGTAGTGATTTTTAGTCCTTTAGTTGGTAGTAATATATAAGGATTTGTACAGATTTAGTAATATGGCGTAAACTATCGTACGTAACTCGTCCAAAATGTGTGTACCGGACTCGTATGGTAATCCCGTACTCGACTTCGTCTCGCACGGGAACGACCACACTCGTCCGGTAAACACTTATTTTCAGGACTAGTAACGTAATATACTATTACAGGATGTTTTTTGTAACGTAACTCAAATTATCATTACAAGAACAAACCAAACACACATGTTTTATCTCTATTTTTCTTTACTTCATTGTCGATCAGCTGATCTGCATTGTTGCGTAGTTATATGTGGTTAAGGGTCAATGGGAATTTATTGTAAATAATACTCAACCTGGGGTTTTTGCGAGCTCAAACGGTATTTATTGTAGAATAATGGTACGTTAAAACTAAATAATTGGTTTTAAGCCAAGACAATGTTCAAATTAGGTTTCCAGGAGTAATTCTAGTACAAAACAAATCAACTTTTTATAGATTTGTCAAAAAGGAAACTGGACCTTAAGAAGACTAAAATATATATACATACTCTATCTGAGCTTGCGAAAGCACCACGTTGAGTCTTATTTACAATAAATTCCCAACAACGCTAAACCTGATTTACTGGATATCTTAACATTCGAATACCAATTACATTAATAATCACACCTATGTGTATGTTGGACCTACTTATCAAAATATATTTTGAGGAAATGTATCTGCTTTTGAGTGAGAAGCCTGTAGACTAAACACAACTGTCTGTCAGATGTCAAGGAACACCTCAACAACAAACACGTCAGCTGTTCATCTATATCGGGGTAGCATAAAACTACCCCTTGTTTAATTTGGCTCACGAAAAAATCCATCTACAGATACCTGTAAAGGCGACTAAATTGTAATTTTAACATGCAAGAACTACTTCTTGTACTCTTTCTCTTGCTCGCACTGTCTTTTGCTTTTCCAGATTTTCATACGAAAATACAAAAGAGTAAGTTTTGCATAACTTTAACACTCAGATATTGTATGGTTGGGGAGGGTTTTGAAACTATGAATTTCATAAAGTTACGAATGTAACCTTCCCTTGCTATGATCTACCAGATGGGAAGCCGGGGTAGCAGCCCGTCGACTTACCTGAGTTCTCATAACTCCCATTCTCCACGCCATACACCGCCCCTTCGGTCCCTTTGTCAAAACTTCCCCCACATTTATTATTTTAAATTATGTTTCTGCGGATCGACCCAATTACAGGCCTGAGGTATCCCGTCGGGCGCGGCCGAAAATGAAAATGTTCCCAAGATTAGGCTGCTCGACGATTTGGTGAGTTTTGTTGCGTTTCCTGACTAACTTTGGATTGAAATCAGTTCAAAAGTCTGATATAACTGGTTGTATAAGAATGTAGGGCTGTTTAAGTCTGTCTTGCGTATGTTGTTCATTATTTAACAAACAAAGTTAGAACTTAATCAATTAACCTTCGATGATAAATCAATGACCACTTAATGTGACAACACTATACTTTTGTGTGAATGTTATGTCTACTATTTTTATCCGACCAATACTTCAAACTTAAGTGTAAAATCGTACAAAAAATGTATATCTGGCGTGTAAGACACGACACATTGTAAAATATGTTTATACCTAGATTGTTAATACTTAGATTATTAAAATGAGCAAACATCCAGAAATAAATTCATACAGCATCCTGAATATTTCTGTTCTACTTTTATATTTGATCCCAATGTCCATTTTCCCCATAATGTTGGATGTTTCCTTCATACGTCTGTTTCGATAAGTCTTTCCCAACGATGTGGACAGACTTACCGACATTTTGGAGATTGTAACAGCTGTTACCGACGTTAAGGTAAAAGTTAAGCTTGCTCACGTCAGCTCATGTCCGTCATTTCAAACCGATGTATTCGGATTTTGGATTTGTTTGGCTTTGAATCAGAGTCTCGCTCAGTTTCAACAAATTCTAAAGTGCTTGAGTTATATTTGTTCTTGTTAGTATTGAGTATTAGGGCTTTTGGTAGTTTATAGTCCACTTTTTAGAATTACGTTATAAATGTCAGAAGATTTTTCGTTAAAATAAACCAGGCAGTAAGCTGGGCTGTGTTAAATAGTCTTAGCCTACTAGTATAGTAGTGGCGTTTTGGATTTTGGAGTGAGACTATTTGCGTGTCTCTCTGGAAATTTTAAAAACTTTTTAATGTTTTTTAAACTTTCAAAAAATATGTTTTTATTATTTTGTATCAATTGTTACTAGCGTAGACATAAAATTATGTTAGAGACCATTAAAAGAAGATATTTCTCAAAAATCTTTGGAAAAAAAGTTAATTGATAATGACACTTTCCCGTTTGTGTGTTGATATTTGTATACTAAAATATCGTTAATATTTGTATAATAATTCCATATACAGTATTGTCTTTGTGTACCATATGTGTCTTTGTCTCTAGGTCCGTTCTTAATGATTAAGAAGACTCAATGGTATAATACCTAGTTGAAATTTAATAAATAAATTCTGGATAAAAATTTATGCAAATTTTATAAAAATGAAATGAAATGAGGTATCCTAAGTTTATAATAATTAACGTCTTATAAATGTATACAGTTTGAGTGTTATTGTAAACGTAATGAAATATTTGAAAACGTATTTTATTACTTTCGTACAAACCAATAACTATACTGTGTTTAACTTCACATTAATGAGCAGTTTTTGTTCCCTTGTTACATAATACCCAATCTGTTTTGGGGAATTTTATTCTATTGCATGTTTTGATTTCCTCCACACAATAGTGTAACTCCATTGTCAGATTTAAATGAGTGTAAAGTTTGAATGTTTAACAATAACAATAGATGCCTTGGAGACTCGCAATATTTGTGTTTTGTTTCGTGGTGCAGCTATCAAATTTATTTATTGAGATTTATCCATAAATTGGCAAAAAAGGTGTTCGGGTTACAAAAAAGAGTTATGTGCCCCTAGCCTGAAAAAATATTTAAAATCATTTCGTTTGAAATTACATGAGATATGTTAAGTTGATGTTTAGTTTATTATGCGGTGTGTTAACTTTTCTTATTTTCTCCACAACTGCATTGGCATATCAATATATTTCTTAACAAAAAATTAAAACTTTTCCCGGTTACCTTTGTGAGTAGAGATTGAGGTAGTTATAAATGTCTTAACTATACTTAGTTCAACTAACACTGGGACTAACTTCCTTTGTTATTTTCATGCCTGGATCTCCAAAGTCAACATGAACATTTATTTTCTTGGCACTTACATTGTTGATTTGTCCATATTATTTGTTATGGTGTTCTTAGAGGAGCTCCCTCCGGTAAATTTGACAACTGCTTCAACGGTTAATAATTTATTTGTTTTTGCAACTAAACTGAAATAAAGAAATTTCTCTCCGGTTGAAAATTTAGATTTCTTGGTTTTTTCCTCTTTATTGTTGTCAGACCTACGGTTTTCTACTGTTTCCTTAAAATTTTTGCACACACGTACCTACTTTTGCTTGTTATTTCCACCGGTCAACGGCACAACGTTCGTTGGATTTATGTCCAAGATGTAAGGGCTCTTATTTTTTTCCTTGGGTCAGTGGCATTTTAAACTAAGTAAATTACGACCCTTTGAAGAGAAAACTGTCCAAACCCATAAAGTTTAGTAGATGTGCCGGGAATCGAACCCGTCCCTCCCAAACCGAGTGCATTAATTGCGTCAAAGAGTTACTTAATTGCGCCAAGCTCTCAAAGAGTCCCCAAAAATGTTCCTTTGTTACGCCAAGCCCAAGCCAGGTAGGGGTGAGTTGCCACCAGAAGTAATGTCCTTGTTTACTTGTCATCCTAACCTAACCTATCCTAATACAACCTTTTCAATTATCCAGTCAAAGAGGACCGCCACTTAGCTAATTAACTTATCGGATGGCTCCCTAGAGTAGTTGGCGCAATTCAGGAATACCCGACTATCTGGCCCAGATCAGTTTGCGCAATGTCCACCCCACATCGAAGCTCGAGATGCTAGACAGAAAGGCTAGCACCTTGAAAGAAATCGTCTCCTGGTCGTCAAATACTTTTCTCCTGGGGTTACCTTATGAGGCCATCTTTCTTTTTGACTGTATTTTGGCCATCGTTCACTCTGAGCGGCGGGAGCAGGACGATCGCTTCATTGAACAAGACCAGACATGTAACCCGATCACAACCCGACTTCGACCTGTAGTACACGAGCATTTCACGGTAGAAAGGTTCTGTTCTGGCTTCCACCTTCGTGCTGACAGTGTGTGGTCGAGGTACGAGGTTGGTAGACCTTGGACATTGTTTGGAACCAACTACTTCAGTTTTGGCAATTGGGGACTGAAACTACGAAAAGGGTGGAAGAAGAATTGAATTCCGTTTTGAGCTTCTAATTTAAGGTATCAATGAACTAGTGGATTAGACATCATGCCGAAGTGAAAAATTAGTAGGCTGTAGTTGTTCCTATCGCGAGAACAGTTTTAAACATTACTGTTTATAAGTTGTTGAACGTTTATAAAATGTGCTTTCAAAATTTGCAATCCAAATTAAATTATCCTGGAAGTTCTGTTGACAATTTGGTAACTAAACCTGTCGAAATGTGGAAGAAAAACTTTCTACACAGTTTGTAAGTTTCTACAAAGAGTTTTGATGACGAGGAACAATTTATTGCAGTGATCGACTTGTTGAAAAAGAGTGATATTTGTTATGTGCAAACAGGTAGTCTTTAGTGGTTCTTTCAATGTGTTTGAAGTTAGAAATGCCTTTGTATGAAAAGGTGCCCAAAGAAATTTTCAATCCAAAGATCTTAAAGACATTGTTTGAAACCTGCTAGCTCTGGCTGTCGATGGCTGAACCTGGGTTAACTGGGGAAAGCCCTCTCAACGCGTTATTGGAACGCATACGCGTTTGTATTGCAGTCATCTACTTTACTGATAATAAGTTATATTTGTACTTTAAGTTTTCTGTCAAGGACTATGCTATAAAGGAATTGCTGCAGTCATCTACTTCTTTTTGAGTTCCTATTAGTATCGTTTATGCAAAATAACTTTCGTGTTGGAGATATATTTGCTGCATAGAAATGTCGTTTGAATTGTTAACAAGTGGTTGCCCGTAGTTGTTTTATTATAAGAACACTAAAGTTGTAAATCCAATTTACTATGACCCGTTAGCAAAATGTGTTTTTGCAGCAAAACGGAACGTTTAAAAACAATAATGGTATGAAATTGAATAGCTTGCCAATTATATCCTAACCTTTGTTTACAAATGTTAACTGATTTAGGAAGCACCAATCACCCACCAATTTTTAGGGCGGAAAATTGGATGTAATTTGAGCAATCTGGCTGCCACAGTCCATTGTTTTTGGGCGTCTTTATTGATTGGGAAACAAGTCGATTTTGTTCTAGTCTAACATCATATCTGTTATTTTTTTCAATGTTGGGTTCATTTAAACTATGCCTGATGACGAGTATGTTCCCATCTAAATAAATTGATTGATTGATATACTCCTATGGTAGCTTTTATGGACACTGCATATTGTAAAGACATTTAACGCATTGTTATAGAAATCGCATTCAAATATGAGGTTGCTAGTTCGTTTCCAAATTAGATCATTTCTGTGTCCAGTTGCATTTCGTCATAAGCTACAACGATGTAAAAACTACTGAGTTGTTTATATCGTTGATAAGCTATCAATTATTTAATGCAAGGGTTCAGTTTAGACTATTAGACAAAAAAGTGCTTGGTTAAAAATCAAAGGATCCAAGCCAGTAATAAAACACAGCAGTGTAAAGAATATTTGCCTTTCTTCATATTCCTTAGGTTTAATAACACTCATACAAGCGTCATCGTAAACACTACCTCACCAATACCAAATCCAACCAATTCAATAACATCAGAAGAGAATATAGTATATTACGTTACTAGTCCTGAAAATAAGTGTTTACCGGACGAGCGTGGTCGTTCCCGTGCGAGACGATGTCGAGTACGGGATTACCATACGAGTCCGGTACACACATTTTGGACGAGTTACGTACGATAGTTTACGCCATACTACTAAATCTGTACAAATCCTAATATATTTTCACCAACTAAAGGGCTAAAAATCCTTAGTCATAGCCTCTATAAGAGAGGTTATGTTTTTGATTAGAATAATTCATTGCCACCTAAATATAGTATAATCAGCTGATTGGTGTCCGGCAAAACTCATTACAGTACAGTGGTACGCAATGAAACCCCATTTGATTAAGCTGGCGGCAAACAGCTGTTTTCTGGACTAAATCCTTGCTGGGAAGTTTATCAAAATAATGTAGTGTGGCGTAAAAGTAATTTTCGAAGTTAACAAAAAGAAAACTTCCCTGTTGTGTTAAAATCTGTAACAGAAGACCGCAAGTAACGCGGAATTGTATCTAACTACACCCCCTGGCTGTAATTAACGAAGATATTTTCCACTTTGCTAATTGGGTTGATGGCTGATGCGCCCTTAACCCTTCTGCCAAACAAAGGTTCGCCCCCTCTCGCGAAACAAATGCGTTTTTAACTCTCTAAACGCATCCGCAATTTCAAGAGCTCCTGGTGCTCGAGATTGAAAGACTTGGGGGTAAGAGTTCGTATCGCTATTCGACGGAAATATTACAACCGTGGAGTGCTGGTGCATAATGGCGCATGAGAAAAACTTTTTTGAATTGTTTGGAATGGGTTTTAAGGATTGCTTGGGTAGTGTTCCAAATGATAAAACTGATATGGGGGAAATAGTTCTCGTTGAAATTTCATTGTTTGTTTATTTTTGGTTATGGTTAATGTTGTAGGATTATTGTGGACGTTTTCCAACGCGATTAGTAAAACTACTAAGGTTTCACAACGTTTAAGTATATCTAATCTGATCCCGTACTCGTGTTTACGTACCTAAAAGACAACAAGATTGATACCAGTAATACACAAATCATAAAAATTTGTGAATGGAAAATTAAAAAAAAAAACAGAGAGTGTTCTGGCTTTTTACAAATAGTTCAGTTTGGAAAGGTGAAGAAGTTAGTTTATGAGAAAGTAAACATTGTTTTACATCACATTCTGATCACATGATTGGCATGATTTGAACCCTTTACCTCAGGTCCCGCTCTTTACAACGAGACTAGCTTGCTCTCTTATAGCTATTTGATAATAATATCCAGTATTATTCACAGTACTCCACAAGAAGCAGTAGTTTTAGCAGTAATCACGGTAAGCTGGTCTTCAAAGTTTACTCTGATATTTGACATGGTGACCGAAGCCCTACCAATTTGATTTTTTACGTCGCCTACTCGTCCATTAGGGATTTAGTCGATGGAGGGGGCTAGAACCATGTCTGGAGTGAAATTTTATACCTCCCCACCATTGGACAATCCACCCCCTACTGGATTGTCCAACCTATAACAATCAGTACAGAGTTCTGGTAGTTCAATCAACGAGTTGACTCTTACTTCTTAAATATTAAATGTGATACCAGGTGAAGTTTGGTAAGACGTTTGACAGCCTTTACGAATAATTATGCTGTTAGGTTAGGTATTAAGCTCTTCCACATATACATATGTGTTGATATTGAGCTAGTCCACAAATACGCCGATAGTTTATGTGTTGGTATTGTGCTCTTCCAAATGTGCTGATAGTTTATGTGTTGGTATTGTGCTCTTCCAAATGTGCTGATAGTTTATGTGTCGTATTACCCTCTTCCACAAACGTGCTGATACGGTGGTTTATGTGTTGATATTGTGCTTTTCCACAAATACACTGATAGTTTGTTTGTTGGTATTATGCTCTTCCACAAACGTATTGATACGGTGGTTTATGTGTTGATATTGAGCTAGTCCACAAACGCTGATAGTTTATGTGTTGGTATTGTGCTCTTCCACAAACGTACTGATGCAGTGGTTTATGTGTTGATATTGAGCTAGTCCACAAATACACTGATAGTTTATGTGTTGGTATTGTGCTCTTCCAAATGTGCTGATACGGTGCTTTATGTTTTGGTATTGTGCTAGTTCTAATCCACAAATACGCTGATAGTTTATGTGTTGACATTGTGCTCTTCCAAATGTGCTGATTCGGTGGTTTATGTTTTGGTATTGTGCTAGTCCTAATCCACAAATACGCTGATAGTTTATGTGTTGACATTGTGCTCTTCCAAATGTGCTGATACGGTGGTTTATGTTTTGGTATTGTGCTAGTCCTAATCCACAAATACGCTGATAGTTTATGTGTTGACATTGTGCTCTTCCAAATGTGCTGATACGGTGGTTTATGTTTTGGTATTGTGCTAGTCCTAATCCACAAATACACTGATAGTTTCTGTGTTGGTATTGTGCTCTTCCACAAATGTGCTGATACGGTGGTTTATGTTTTGATATTGAGCTAGTTCACAAATACGCTGATAGTTTATGTGTTGGTATCACAGTATTATATTGTATGTAATATTATCCTCTTCCACAAACGTGCTGATACGGTAGTTTATGTGTTTAGGTGTTTATGTTGATCTAGTCCACAAATAAGCTAATAGTTTATGTGTTGGTATGTTGCTCTCTCACAAGTGCGCATGTAGTTTATGAGTAGTACTGTGATATTGCACTCCACTAATACTAATATGTTAATTACTGGCATGGTTCTTTTCCACAAATTCCCTGATAGTATGCCTATGGCATTCAGATTCACACGTGTAATGAATTTGTTGCTTTGGTGTTCAGTTAAACTTTTGCGGTTAGATAATATTATGGTATTCTGTCCCTTAACACATAAGTTTTAAGGGCCTAATGTGTTCATTTACACTTTGTATTTTTATTTCTGACAAATTCAGGATACAAATTTGCTCCGTAAATCAACTACGATGTTGGAAATGAAAACCTTCCTACCTCGGAAACTGTGTTTAAATAGACATAATTAAACCATAGTTTAATCGGTTAATGAATCCACTTAAATGCATTTTGTTATACATCGTGCTACTATTGTCTTTTCCCTTTAGGCGTTGTATGAATATTTAATAAAAATAAGCAGGCATGCTAGGAAGATGTTTAATGTCAGCAATTTTGTTCTATATTTTATTACATTAAACGCGTTTTAAAATTCATACAGTAGTACAACTAATTACCGGTATTCTACAATAAGATAATACACTGATGACATAAATTCTGGTGGATTTTATTTTAAATCAAATTAATTTACAAAGTCAAGTTCTGTGTACACGTTTACAGCTAAAGAGCAATCGGGAAGCGTCTTGAAATTTAGTTTATGCAAACATGACATGTTACAA